AAATACTGTAGTGTTTAGTGATTGGAGATTTTTTTTTCAATTAAATTATGCTACTACAATTAAAGGTATGTTTTATGTAAATAAAATTTAAATATACTTTTTTAAGGTTTTGCTTGTTGAAAGAAGTGAACTCAAAGAAAGAAAAGTAACAGAACAATTATATATTTATTGTGTTATCTTTTCATAATTATTTTACTATATATGAATACTTACAAATATTAGTATATGAATATTTATAACTTTGTTAGTATTCAATGTGTTCTGTCCTTGAGACAGAGATGTCCAGCCTAATAAGCTGGTATGTTGATCTTGGATCTAGTGCCCTCTCCAAAGTATCTATGGATGAGATACCCTTGAGTCAAGCAGATAACTGTGCACAGAATACTATAACAGCGCCATCTTGTCATTTTGGTGATTACAACCTTGTCCTCCTCCATATCCTCCCTTTGCATTTGATATTTTTAGCCTTTTTCAGTTTCTTGACCAAATGAGGAAGAAAAACTCTCCCTCTGCAGCTCTGTGTTTGAAAGGGAAGAGGGAGGAGGATTCTGATTTTTTGAAAAGGTTTCCTCCTGTTGCTCGCTTCTGGCTTTGGGGAATTCCTAGGACCGAAGAGGAAGAGCAGGAAGCTATGCTGCGAGGTTTCCGTGGTGGCAAGTCTCAGAGTGCGTCCGGGTTGTCGAAAAGAGGTTTGCGGCATTCCCGAGATATGGGTTCATCCCGCCGGGTTAGGGGCCATCATAGCGAGAATGAATGTGCATCACATCCATCTTCCCAACCCCCGAACTAAACCTTCTAGCTAACCTATTATCTTTTTGAGATCTTTGTCTAATACCCCAGCTTCACTGCCTTCTTCTGTTCCTAGGGGTGTCCCTTGTTACTCTTGTGTTTTCTTGAGTTCGAAGCTCGTCGAGCGAGGTTGTGACTTTTTGGCCGAGTCCACGTTAGCTACTTGCCGGCATGGAGATAAATCTATTCGCGCGTCAGGAGGAGAAGATGATCCTATTACCATTTCTGATATATCATCATCATCATCATCTAGTGATTCTTCTGATAGTGTTTGTGATTCACGTACTCTGATTCTTTCCTGATTCCTGCCTTTCCTTGTTTTTAGGTTTAATGGCATCCCCTCCTCCAGAGGTAGTAGAAGAGTCGCGTTCCACCGAGTCGTGTTCCCCTCATCCCTCGTCTTCTTTAATAGCCCAGTTTCCTTGGGTAACTCATGAAGTTCTGAGTACTATGTCGCAGATGGGTTCGGATGACGTTACTGCCCTTTCAGTGGAGGAGTTAGATAGTGTCGACATAGTGCCTCCACGAAAGGACGAGCCCGTCTGCTCTAGTGGGAGGTCAAGAGAGCCCCATTTCTTTTTCTTTTCTAAGATGTCGTGACACAACTCGGTGTCCGCTTCCCCTTGTCAGATTTTCAGATTGACCTTCTGAATAACCTGCAAATAGCTCCCACACAGCTTCATCCCAATGGATGGGGTTTTGTGAAGGCCTTTGAGCGTTTCTGCTCATATCTTTCCATTATTGCTTCTATATGTGTATTCTTTTTCTTTTTTCAAGTGCTGACTCCTCGTACTGGTCGTGAATCGGCCAGCCGAAAAGGGTGGGTTACTACTCGAGGTATCCCCAACCGTAAAATTTTTCAGGTTTATACTGACTCCTTTAAAAATTTTAAAGACAAGTTCTTTAAGGTTTCTGCCCATCCCGGCAAGAGTGTTTGGTTTGTTGACACCTCTCGTGCCGAGGATGGTGAGGGAAAATTCCCTTTGCATTGATCTTCTGACCATTATCAACTTCCCCATCTAGTTACCGTTTCCAAGTTACCGAGCTGGGTTCGTCTGATATTGACAGTGCCATTTCCATTGGCACGTTCCTTCTGTCGCATAAGCATGCTAGTGTCGCATCCCTTCTATTCAAGTTCGAAAAGGAACTTGATGCTGAATTAAGTATGAATTATTTCGTGCAACTCCGCATCTGCATATTGGTCGTGTTGCTTTGATACTGATTTGTTATTATTTCTTTTGTAGTACCCCTCATGGATAATCAACAAAATGATCCTCATAGCTGGTTGGCTGCATTGAACCAAGTCAAGGCCGGTTCCACCGGGTCTGCGAAGAAGAGGAAAGCGCTTGAGCCTTCCCAAGGCGGTCACAGCAAAGCCAAGGATCCATCTGCTGATACTCCCACCGCGGCCAGTGTGAAAGAAAAATCAAAGGCTTCTGACATTCGTGCTTCCACCGGCTCCCATCAAACCATGAGAGCCCCTCCTCCTCCTCCAGCGCCCGAATATGTTAAGCACATGGTGTGGCAAGGTAAAACAAATAGTACTCTCCGGGATGCGGTATGCGCCCCCGAAGCCTTCTACAACTCATCCTCTCTTACCCCGGCCCAAGTTAGGGAGGTGGAAGAGTTGGAACTGTGTTGTCTGAAGATGGCTGGGTTGGCCAGACCCTTGCTGATACTTAAGCAAAAGTATCTGCGTTCACTAAATGAGGCATCTGCATCCCGGGAGGAGAAGGCAAAAATGTACGCTGAACTTCTGAAGGTGAAGAATGATTTGTCCGGTTTGAAGAAAGACTATGATGACACCACTGCTAAGCTGACCAAGGTTAAGTCAGAATATGAGAAGTTTTGAGACGAGAAGGCTGCTGAGGCCGTAAGGATGCATGATTTTCAGAGGATGTACGAAGGAAAGGAGGTCAAGCTAAAGGAAGCTGAGTGTAACGCCCAACTCTACCAAGGTGAACTTGAGAAATCAGTCACCGGGTCCTTCTATAATGCTCTGAACCAACTCCAAGTATTGAATCTAAACCTTCCCTTGAACCTGGTTGGCTAGGATGCTCGTGCTTACGTTAATAATGGCCAAATCATTTCTCCAGCTGCCGGCTCCCCTTCCCATATGTCAGCAACCCAAACCGAGAAAGGTGTAATCGTCAAGGATAGCGAGGAGGCAATCAACCAGCCTAGAAAGGAAGTCGAGGAGGCCAATCAATCTGGCAAGGAGGCCCCAACATCGGAAGATCCTCCTACCATCGAGATAATTTGAAGGGCTAGAATGTTGGTTGGATTTTGTAATTTCCTGGGGTCCTTGGACCCCGTTTGGGTTAATTCTGAATATTACCGGTTTTATTCTGTTTTTAATTTTGCTTTCTAAATATTTTATTTGTCCTTTCATATCCTGCGTTATGGTTTTTCGTGTTGCATTTCTTAATTCCGAATTCACCATAGATGCATTTATCTAGGTTATTGAATTTGCATAACTCGGTATACCATTGCGGGGCCACATTTGCTTTATTGAAAAGATAGCTCTTTTGTGTATTGTCGAAGTGTATAATGTAGTCTTTTTTGGCATATACGTTAACCCCTGTCCGAGGTTCCTGCAGTGTAGTATCCGAGTCGCGTAACTCGGTTAGCATCCCTTTTTTAACCCGGTTTTCTCCCAGGTATTTAGGAAATCCTACCCAAGTTGAACGCCGATTTTCCTAGATATTATTCCGACTTTATTGAATGTATCTTAACCCGTGCATTTTTACGAGTTTCGTATCGAATTTATTCCATCATTTTATATTGCTTATTGAGTTAAGCCTGCAACCCAATTTTAGCTTTACTAAACCTGTGCATCATACGAGTTCTTTATTCATGACCTGGCCGAGGTCAAAGCATTGTATGGATTCCGCTTTATGTCATTTTTTATGACACATGTTTGTTTAACTTACTCGTTCTGGTAAGCCTGTATAAATAATGGATTTCATCTCTTTGACTTAGCCATTTTAATTGAATTTGAATTTCATAACTCAATTTTATCTAAGGTAAAAACAATAATACCATCTGTCCCTTTTGGTATCGTGACCAAAATCGGGACATTTTGACCTGATCAGAGTCATTACGACAAATTGTATTTGTACCTCGGATTTCGTATTGATACATCAAAAGTAGACAAGGATAGATCTTAAAAAAGAAAAATTCCTCATTTATTGATATCAAATTGCAAGCTACATGAATTTGCCGGCATATTCAGCTTTAATTAAATCCCTAATAGAGGAAAATGTAATTAAAATAGCACTGCGAATGGGTGAAGGTGGATCCCGGATTTAGCTGTAGTATATCTTCAGCTTATCCGCATTCCAGGTTCTCTTTATTCCTCTGCCTTCTGTCGTTTCTAGGACATAAGCCCATTTGCCGAGCTTTTCTTTAACCTGATACGGGTCTTCCCAGTTCGCAGCGAGCTTTTTTTCTCTGGCATTCTTATTGCCAATATCTGCTCTTCTGAGTACCAAGTCATTTTTTGCAAAAATTCTTGGTCTTACTTTCTTATTATACTTTTCCGCTGTTTGTTGTTTAGTCATCATATTCTGGCAGTGAGCTGTAACCCTAGCTTCGTCCACAAGGTCTAACTCTTCAGTAAGCATTTTATTGTTTTGTTGTTCGCCTTGTTCTAGACTATTTAGTCTTCTCCAAGAGGGTTCTCCAATCTCTACCGAAATCATGGCTTCACATCCATACGTTAGTCTGTAAGGGGTTTCCCCTGTTGCAGTTTGGGTACTAGTTTAGTAACCCCAAAGGACAAAGTATAGCTGTTGAACCCAACTTTCTTCAGCATCAAACATTCATTTTTTGAGACCTTCCACAATCACTTTGTTGGCTTCCTCGGCTTGCCCATTCGATTGTGGGTGTTCCACTGATGCGAAGCGATGTGTGACTTGTAGGTCTTTCATTAGCTGCTGGAATCTCTTATCAGCAAATTGTGCTCCATTGTCAGTGACCACCTCGGCTGGGATTCTGAATCTAGAAAAAATGTTCCGTTCAAAGAACCTTTGCACTCTAGCCGAGGTGATTGTGGTGACCGATTCTGCTTCTATCCACTTTGTGAAGTAATCCACAGCCACGATCAGTCACTTAAGTTGCCCTTCAGCAGCTTTGAAGGGTCCTAGTAAATCCATTCCCTATTTGAAGAAGGGCCATGGAGCCGTGATGCATTTCAGCTCTTCAGGTGGTCAAAGGATTAGCTTGGCATGTTTCTGGCAGCTGTCACATTTCTTGACATGTTCTTTAGAATCTGCCCCCATTGTCGGCCAGTAGTAACCAGCTCGGAGGGCCTTTCTGGCCAAGGCTTTGCCTCCCATGTGATGGTCGTTGATTCCTTCATAGATCTCGGTGAGTACATATTTTGCTCCTTCCGAGCTCAAGCATTTTAGCATGGGGTTGTGCAAACCCTTTCTAAATAGCTGGTCATTCACAATTGTGTATTGTGTCACATCTCGGACCAACTTTCTGGCTTCTAGATGGTCTTCTGGCAATATTCCTTTCTCCAGGTAGTCTACTAGGGGTTTCCTCCAGTCTGCGGCGAGGTTATCACCATTACACAACTCGACATTGTTATGCTTTGCTGAACCACGGTTCTGTGGTTACCCGAATTTTTGGTGCTTGCTAATTTTGACAAGATGTCAGCTCGGCTATTCTCCCCTCATGGGATGTGAGTAACCCGCACCTCATCAAAATCGGCCATGATTTCTTGAACCCGGCTTAGGTACTTCATTAGCAAAAGACCTTTAGCCTGGTACTTTCCTTCTATCTACGAAGTTACCAGCTGTGAGTCACTGAAGATTTGAACTTTCTTAGCTCTGTGTTCTTTAGCTTGCATCAATCCGGCTATCAGAGCTTCATATTCAGCTTGGTTATTTGAAGTTGGGAATCCCAAGTTCAGAGAGTGTTCAATTGTTACTCCTTCTGGGCTTTCTAATATGATTCCAGCCCCACTTCCTTTACTGTTGGATGATCCATCCACGTAGACCTTCCATGACTCGCCAGATTCCTCATGTTTCGAGTTTACTGGCGTCAGTTCTATTATGAAGTCGGCCAGAGCTTGTGACTTGATAGCTTTCTGACTTTCATATGTTATGTCATATTCACTTAGCTCAATTTCCCAATTAGTCATTCTTCCCGCCAGGTCTGGCTTGTGCAACACCTGCCGAATAGGCTGATTGGTCCTGACAATTATTTGATGGCCCTGAAAGTATGGCCGTAATCTCCTGGCCGTGACCAGTAACGCAAAAGCCACCTTTTCTAGCTTTTGATATCTGACCTCTGCGCCTTGTAGAGCTCTACTGAAAAAATAGATTGGCTCTTGGCCTTCGTCATTTTCTTTGATCAGTACAACACTTATTGCCTCCTCCCCCACTGCCAGATACAGGATTAGAATGTCTCCTGGGTTTGGCTTTGAGAGGACTGGCGGAGTTGCTAAGCATCTCTTGACTTTCTCGAACGCGGCTTGGCACAGCGGGTTCCATCCATCAATTGCTTCCTTCTTTAAAAGTTTAAAGAATGGAAGGGCATTTTCAGCAGATTTCGGCAGAAACCGGGTTAGCGCAGCTAATCGACTGGTCAGCTGCTGAACTTCCTTTTTGTTTTGGGGTACTTTCATATCAAGTACTGCCTTGCATTTGTCAGGGTTCGCTTAAATTCCTCTATTGGTTAGCATGAATCCCAAAAACTTCCCAGCTGCTACCCCAAACGTGCATTTTACCGGGTTGAGGCGGATGCGGTATTTCCTGAGCTTTTGGAATGTTTGTTCAAGATCCTGGACATGATTCGCCATATCAAATGACTTTACGATCATATCGTCAATGTATACTTCTACATTCTTGCCCAGCTGATCTTCAAAGACTTTATTCATTATCGTCTGGTAGGTTGCCCCTGAATTTTTAAGCCCAAATGGCATCACATTGTAGCAATAGTTGGCCTTTTCAACAATAAAAGCCATTTTTTCTTGATCCGCCAGGTACATTGGGATCTGGTTGTATCCCGAATAAGCATCCATGAAGGACAACAGACGAAATCCAGCCGAGTTATCTACCAGCTGGTCTATGTTAGGCATAGGATAAGAATCCTTTGGGCAAACCTTGTTTAAGTCTGTATAATCAGTACAGACTTTCTATTTCCCATTTGGTTTTTGATGAACCCTTAGTTCATCATGGTTTTTAGCAGGAATTAGGATCAAATTGTGTGATTAAATGATGAAAAACAAGGTTAATGTCCTAAGATGTCCTCAATTACAAGTTCAAGAGTTTTATTGGAAATTTGTATGATTCTTGTAGGAAAAGCAAGCTTGAAAGACAACTGGAGAAGGAAGAAGATTCTGGAGCTCAAGGGGAGAAAAATTGCCTAAGTGTTGAGCGCTAAAACGTCCACACTGAGTGTTTTAGCGCCCTGCTACAGGAAGAGGCCAAAACTTGCTGGTGATGAGCGCTAAAACGCCCACACAGAGCGTTTTAACGCGCTGCTGCACTTAAAAGATGGAAAATTGCTGGTCTTGGGCGCTAAAACAGCCTGCAATAAGCGTTTTAGCGCCCTAAAGTGGAAAAAGGATTCTGGTCTTCACCGCTAAAATGTCCAAATCAAGAGTTTTAGCGTTGGAATCAGTTAAAGTCAGTTGAGCATTCACCAAGTTTGGACGCTAAAACGGTCATTCCTTAACGTTTTAGCGTTGGAATCAGTTAAAAGCAGTTGAGCATACGTAAAGCATGGACGCTAAAACAGTCACTTATGGACGTTTTAGCGCCCACATCAGTTTTCTATTTTTAATTGTAACACTATATAAGGCAAAGCCTTGACACTTAGAAATATATCTGGATCTGAGGGATCTGAACTCTCTCTCTCTCTTAAACTTTAGTCTGACTTCTCTCTAAATTCTCTTAGGTTTTAGTTTTTGTATTAGGATTTCCTTGTAATAGTTTGGAGATTGAAGACTTTCAACATGGAAATGAAGTTTGTTTCTTCTTCTCTTATTTATTCCTTAGTCATGTCTGAGTAGAGTCTTTGTAATCTGAATGCAATAGACCTCCATGATAATATTATGTTGATTTGATTAATATGATGAAGTATTTTTCATGTGTTGATTTGAGATTTTCTGATTTAATTATTTCTATCAAGGAAGTAATATAGAACAGGGATATTTATATGACTTCTGTATTTGATAATCTCAACATCAGAATTCTAGTACTCAAGGGATTGATGCTAGAGTTCTGATGTAATCTTAAAACTTTAGTATTTCATGCATGTATTAAGAAAGAGATCACCAAGGGATTGGGGTTTCTGATTAATGTATCTATCAGGGTAGTAAGGGATTACATCTTGATGATAAGTAAAAGGTTGATTAACATCACATGGAAAGGAATTCATCATATGATCAGTTTTTACATGAGTTATTGTTGAGGAAAGTTGTTTTCTGACTACTTGTTGTTTTATTGATTCCTAATCCATATTTATTTTGTGTCAAATTACTTACAATCAATTTTCTGGTAACAAATTATTCATGATTTTTACAAACTCTTATCTGATTCAAATTAGTTTTCTATGGTATATTGGTGTTTGAAAACAATTCCTCGTGGGAACGATCTTTACTCATCATTTTATTACTTGTACGACTAGTGCACTTGTTAAACGTCCAACAAGTTTTTGACGCCGTTGCCGGGGAATTTGTTTTTCAACACTAACTGATACTATAGAATTCTGAGATTGAATCCTTTTATTTTCGGTATTTTAGTTTATTTTAAGTTTCTGGTCAATTTTGATTCTGGTATATGCGAGGTACACTTGATCCGAATTTGTTGTTGTATGATCCAGAATTAGAAAGGACATTGAGGAAGCAAAAAAGGGCAGCCAGGCAAAGGATACAGTTGCAAGAAATTGGTGAATCCAGTACGGTTAATCAGGAAGAGATAATGGCAGAGAATCACAGACCACCACCACCACAGAGGACACTGGGAGAGTACATGACTCCTGCAGTGATTCCTCCAATTGGGAGTGTTGTGCGCCCAACAGTGGAGCCCAACAACTTTGAATTGAAGCCTGTTTTGATTCATTTGGTGCAGAAGGATCAGTTTGCTGGAACCAGTGCAGACGACCCTTACTTGCACATAGAGAACTTTCTATTGTTGAGCGATACTGTAAAGATAAATGGTGTCACAAGAGATGCAATTTTGTTGAGACTATTCACTCATTCATTGACGGATGATGCAAGGAGATGGCTGCAATCATTGCCACAAGGAAGTATAACAACTTGGGATGATCTGCAAACGAAGTTCTTGCAGAGGTTTTTCTCAGCATCCAAGAGGGCCAAGTTGAAGGATGAGATTACAAGCTTTAAGCAGAAAGAGTCAGAATCCATTTATGAGGCTTGGGAGAGATTCAAGACTTTGTTGAGGAAATGTCCACAGCATGGAATTGATGCATGGCAACAAGCAGCAATCTTCCTGCAAGGAATGACCACTAACACTAGAACCTTGGTGTATGCCACTGCTGGTGGATCATTGACTACCAAGACCCCTCAAGAAGCCTTGGATATCTTTGAGTCATTGGCATCTCAGGAATTTGATAATGCCCCAGTGGCTGACAGAAGGACAGGAGTCATCAGGTTGGATGGGTATGATGCTCTGTTGGCAAGGAATGATCAACTGATGCAGACACAGAGACAACAGCAGCAACAATTAGATACCCTTATTAAGCAACTCTCTTCATAAAAGGTAGCCTCAGTGGAAACCAAAAGTGTATGTGTTATATGTGGCAAAGGCCATGTGACAGAGGAGTGTGATTATGGGGGATCATCAGAACAAGCAGAGGTGAATAGAGTGTGGTATGATCAGAATAATCAAAGGAACTACAACAATCAGGGAAGGAATGTTTATGTGCCACCATGGAAGAACAAAAATCAACACCCAGGATTCAGCTATAGTTCCAACCATCAATTGAACCCACCATTACATCCTCCACCACCACATATGAAGGAGCAGTCAAGTGATCCTGCTGCATGGGAGAAAGCGTTTGCTCAGTTATCTAAGACAACTCAGGATTATATCCAGGGGTCTAATTCATTCAGGGAAGAGACAACTGCATTCATGCAGGAGACCAGAACTTCTTTCAGAAATCAGGAAGCATCAATCAGAAATTTGGAGACCCAGATTGGTCAATTATCAAGACAGATATCAGAGAGACCACAAGAGAAATTTCTAGGTGATACATTAGTGAATCCTAAGGAGCACTGTAAAGCAATTATGACAAGAAGTGGGTTGGTACTTCAACCAGTGAAAAACAATGTGGAAAATAAAAAGAATGAAGAAGAGGTTGTGGTTGAAGATGTAGTCTCTGATGATGAAGTAGAGAAGATGAAAAATGAGAAAAGTGAGAAGGAAGTAGTTGTTAGAGATGTTATAGTTGGAATTGATAAAGAAGAGGAAGGGAAGGACAATAAGAATGAAGGAGAGGTAGAAGTTGGTAAAAATGCTTCCCCACAAAAGATGATGAAGTGGGAAAAGAAGAAGATGGCTGACAAGAAAGAACAGCCAGTTATTTTATCTCCCTATGCTAAAGTTCCCTACCCTCAAAGGTTGAAGCAAGAGATTCAGAAACAGCACTATGCAAGATTTCTGGATATCTTCAAAAATTTACAAATTAACATACCATTTTCTGAAGCACTGGAAAATATGCCTCACTATGCAAAGTTCATGAAGGATCTTCTTACTAAGAAAAGGAAATTAACTGATGGTGAGACAGTGGCCCTAACAGCAGAGTGTAGTGCCCTAATCCAGAAGAAGCTTCCAACAAAAATGAAAGATCCTGAAAGCTTCAGTATCTCTATTGCTATAGGAGATGTGGAGGTGGGAAAGGCATTGTGCGATTTGGGAGCCAGTATAAACTTGATGCCGTTGACAGTATGTAGAGCTTTGGGAATCAACACCTTGAAGGAGACCAATCTTATTCTGCATCTTGCAGATAGATCTATCAAGAGGCTGAAGGTGTGGTTGAAGATGTCTTGGTCAAGGTAGACAAGTTTATTTTTCCAGTGGATTTTGTGATTCTTGACATGGAGGAAAAGGATACAGAAAGTCCTCTATTGTTAGGAAGACCCTTTTTAGCAACTGCAAGATCTTTGATAGATGTTAAACAAGGAAAGTTGTTGCTAAGGGTGGATGAGGAAACAGTCACAATTGATGTATTTGAAACCATCAAGCACCCTGTTGATGTAGAGGATTATTTTAGATTGGATGTAATACAGGAGGTTGTGGAAGAAGTGAATAAAGAAGAAGAATTCCCAGTTGAGGAAAAAAGATCAGAAGAAGAGACAGGTACAAAAGATTACCAAGAAGAGCCAGAAGTGGAAGAGCTTGAGAAGAAGATTGATGACATTCCAAAAGGAGCACCTAAGGTAGAACTTAAAGAATTACCTTCACATTTGAAGTATGTGTTCCTTGGGGATGATCAAACATATCCAGCAATCATTAATGCAATGTTGTCTGATGAGGAAGAAGGGAAGTTGATTAAGGTACTCAAGAAGAATAAAATGGCTATTGGATGGCAGTTTTCAGATCTTAAGGGTATTAATCCTTCCTTTTGCACCCACAAAATATTGATGGAGGAAGAGGTCAA